TTTGGATCTTGGGCACAGACCTACACACTGCTCATCAAGCCATGCTGCTGCAGCAGTGTCCCACACAGAAGAACTAGCAGCACTTACAACTAGGATACACAATTATATACTGGGGCTTTGGGAAGAAAAAGAAAAGAAAAGAGGAAGACTGGCAACAGATGTCAGCTCAGGGCCAATCTTGCTCATCAAAAAAAAAAAAAAGCACGGCAGGCAACCAGTATCCTGTGGTACACACTTTGATTAATTCTATATAAGCTTTTTTTTTTTTTTTTAAAGATTTTTTATTTTTTCCTTTTTCTCCCCAAAGCCCCCCCGGTACATAGTTGTATATTCTTCGATGTGGGTCCTTCTAGTTGTGGCATGTGGGACGCTGCCTCAGCGTGGTTTGATGAGCAGTGTCATGTCCGCGCCCAGGATTCGAACCAACGAAACACTGGGCCGCCTGCAGCGGAGCGCGCGAACTTAACCGCTCGGCCACGGGGCCAGCCCCTGTATATAAGCTTTTTAACAATCAAATCCTCTTTCCTTGTTGACTTATTTCATCATTTCAGAAAGTTGTCTCTCTTTCCTTGTGTTGGCTCTACCTGATATTTTAGTTTAAAATTTGATTTCTAAACCAGGGTTGCAGTTTACCAGGAGGCCCTCCCTAAAATGGAAATAATGCTTGGTGAATTATTTAGCAAAAGGCATCTTCTCTAAAAAGAAGCAGAATGTGGTTCTACAACACTACCTCTTTATTCACTCATTCATCATTCATTCATTTGTTCACTCATTCACTTGATCTGTTTATTCCCAAAAGTGCAGTGATAAACGCTGCAAAGCAAAGGGGAAAAATGTGTGTGATGAATCCTATGACAGAGATAAAAATAGAAAAGCCCCTATTTCTTTTCTGGCTGAAAAGGGGTCGGGGGAGTAGGCAGTTCAAATAAAGGTCATAGCAAGGCCCATAGTAGAGATTAGGAATTGGGTTGCAAGTAGGAGTTGGTTGCAAGTTTGTTTGGCGAGAGACTCAACTCCAATTAGCTTAAGAGGGAATATATTGGCTCATTACTGGGGAAGTCCAAGGGAGGTGCTGGCCCCGGACTCTGCTCCAGTCTGTCTCTCATCTCTGCTTTCTCTCTATGGCTTTAGTTACTGCCCAAACACACAAGCTTTTTCCATGAGATAAGGAAGACAACAGGCTGCAATTCTTTCACATTCTTCCAGCAACACACCAAAAAGGCGAGGCCCTTCTCTAGCTTTCTCCCTGTCAGTCTTGGAGAAGGATTCTCAGCCCCAGACCAGCCTTCATCTTTCCATTCCCAGACCCACTCCCAGGGCCAGAGCCTAGGTGCCCATCAGCCTCCTAAGGCCCACAGGACCCCCAGGGTAGCACTGGAGGTGGCACAGCTTGATCGCATCTCTGATTTCACACTATGTAGATAGTGAAACACAGGATGAAATTTCCAAGCATCAACAGAGAGAGTGCACGAAATTTCAGAGTGTAACTTTCAGGGGTCATCTTTTTATTTTCTTTGTTTTGTTTTTTGTTCCAAGTGGCAAGGTGGACAGTTCACAGGAGTAATTGTATCTTTCTTTTCTTACGAATTTTTTTCTCCCTCTGCCCTACCTTCACCTTTTCTTCTGAGGGAAAGGTAAAACCATTGCTTTTATGAGGAAGAAATATCAGTTATGGTACTAACAAGGTATGTGTTCAAGAATCAGAAAATCTTGCGTATTCTACTTGAGGTTTTTCTCATTACTTTGCTGACTTCCTCCAACTCCAGTGTCTTAGTGCGATATCAAGTGCTACTGAGTTTTGATCTCATGAGGAAAAAAGAAAAATTGGATCCATGATCTTATGAAATTGTTATTCCCCAACCCCCAAAAATTAAAATAAGCAAACTGATTGCTACTTAAAAGAAAAAAAATCTCAGCATTACAACCAGTTGAGCAATTTTACACACACACACACACACACACACACAATACTATTTATATGCATGAGCTTACATACACTAGGTTTCCTGAACAATGCATCAAAACTCTTAGGCTTCATCCAACGTCCTTAGGAAGGTTCTTGAGTTTTGTCTTCCCAAGGCAAATTTAATTCTAGAATTCCCATTTTAGTGTTTAACAAACTGTGTTCTGGGAACCCCATGCATCCAAATTACATGGGGAGTGGGGGGCTTGTTAAAATGCAGCCTCCTGAGCCCCACTGCATACCAACTGAATCAGAATCTCTTTGGGGAGGGTGTTCCAGGAATCTTTGTTTTTAAAGCTTCCCAAATGATACTCCTGCACCCTAAAATATAAGATGAATTCTATATTCTATGTTCTAGAATTTTGGAGAGTTTTATTAAAATTTATGAGTTGTAGTATCAGATTATTTTATATCTTTAAGGTAGGATAAACTTCTTGTGAATTCCATGAACTTTAGTTTGCCAGTAAAATATAATTAGCCATCTTTGTGGGTCATGCTCTTTTGAAGTTCTGTGACAAAAGTAACTATAAGCCTAGTTATATGACACAGAAGTCCTTCAGATTTAAAAATATTCACTCTAAATAGGTCACAGATTAATGAGTAGGATAGGTAAATTCCATTGCAACAAACTTTGTGGTTATAACAAACAATTCAATGCAATTTTGTTATAATAGGTACATTGCAAGAACTGACATGATAATTAAGATCCAACTGAAATTAATCATAGATAGAAAATTTTTATGAACTCATTACAGTTGTGAGTTTTCTTCCAAATGAACAACTTCATCTTTCATAAACATTTTACTTCCAATCGAAGACAAGCAATAAGAAGTCAATGTACACAATCCACCTCCTTCTACCTCTGATACCCAGGAGCTGTCCACAGAGTCCTTGCATTTTAGAACTGGAAGAGCCTCAGGCATTGTGACTCCAACCCTTCCTCTTAGAGATGAAGAAAGGGAAGACCAAGTCACATGGTTGATGACAGAACGGGAAGGAAAATCCAGATGTCCTGACTGCCCAGTCCTCTCCTACTAGAGTATAAGTAGCCCTCACAGATCCCAAGCGCAGAATCAAATGGTTCTTCAGGGGTGAGTGTGAGCAACCATTCTTTTTACATAACAGATATGCCATGAAGTAAAAAGAAAAGGCCACATAAAGCATAAGACTTGAAATAAATGCCACTTGGCAACTTGAGTTACTCATTCCTTCTCTCCTGCAATTTAAGCTACAGGGTGGAAACATTTGAAAAGCCCAGTGCTACCCCAGCTTCCCTACCAAAATCTGACAAATTAAAAGAGGAGAGAAAATGTGATCCTCAGGTAGTCATGGGTAATTACTTGATACCTATCTAGATAGATCCAGTGTGGTTGACAATAAGTCAAGCAAGGCTGTTAAGGTCTTCTCAGATGATTTACTAAGCATCTGCTGCAGGTCTGCAACTGGGGTTGATATAGTCATTCTGTTATTCAAAAGACATATACTGAGCACCTACTAGAAGCTAGAAGCTATGCCTGTCCTAGCAATACTAACATGAACAGACCGGGGAAGCAACACTAAAGCCATAATTACAGTGCTATACAATCAGTTGCTATGGGCACTACTCAGCTAGGTTGGGTCAGAGAAAGCTTTACAGCGGAAATGACATTGGGCTGAGTCTTGAAGGACAACCAGGAGTTTACCTAATGGAATAAGGGAAAGAAAGAGAAAATCATTCCAGGTAAGTGAATAGCATATGCAGAGGTAGGAAAGGGTGAGAAAAGCAGTCAGAGAGGGGATCCAGAGAATAAAGACAATATTATAAACATAAACTTTGTTTTTCACACCATCTAGCACAACATGGGCAAAGTCAAGTGATTTTTTAAAACTAATAACAAAAAATCCACCTTCCGTGAGCAAGAGACTCACAAGAGACTACAAGCTGGTAACTGAGCCAGTCTGACCTTGAGAGTTCGCTTCAAACCAGAAAGAAAGAAATCTGTTCTTTTGCTTCCTGTATGTAGAGTCTTAGACACCTTTTCCAGCATTCAAAGCCCCCCCCACAGTCTCCTCCCACAGACTTCTAGGATTTGCAGAGTCCAAACTGAGTCCTTATAAGGAGGGAAGGAAAAGTGTTTTAATGGTGCAATTAAATAGAGGAAGTTATGCACCCCCATGGTTACCATAAAATTTTGTCTCCTTTCCAAGCCCTTGGTATGCAGATTGTAATTTTTTGCTTTGGTAAGAGAAAGTGGGTGATAGGAAACAAGTTTCCACTACTTAAGAGCTGTGTGACTTCAGGGAAGTCACATAACCTCTCAGGACATCATTTTTCTTGTTGCGAACACCCTGCTAGTTTATTGTGAAGCTTAGACATGATGTGAGGGAGAGTACCTGTCAGAGAGTCTGGTCGATCCTCGACCTCCCATTCGGGCAGCTGCTGTACATGTTACTGAGGACTGACCATGTGGAAGCCTGAATAAATCTGAGCTGGACCTTGTTCTCTAGGACCTCACAACCTATAGTGGAGCTATAGAACAGACTCACATCCCTCTACTCTAAGGAGAAAAGCAGTTACTACCAGGAGAAGAATACAGAGAAATAACTTGGGGAGTCGGGAGGACAGAGATTACCTGTACTGTGGAGGGAGTCGGTGGGGGAAGGAGAAAGGATTTGGGCCTGAGAATGAACAAGAGAAGTGTGTGAGCTGGGCACTTCCACCCTTTCTGATGTGGGTACGGCGAGTATCTGTCCGCCCCTCTCACAGATGAAATAAGAGAGGTTCGGAGAAGAGACACAACTCACTCAACTTCACACTCCTAGTTACAGGGGAGCCAGGAGGAGAATTCAGAACTCGCCACCCCTATCCAAAGAGGTCACCATTACCACATTCTACCTCCTCTGACTGGGGCCATTTGCAGATGCAGAAGACAGGCCAGGCCAGGGAAAGCAGCAGAAAGGAGGTGCTGGGGTCCCTGGCCCGGTCCCAGGTCGGGGCAGAGCAGGGACTCAGCCGCGGGGGGGCGCGGTCGTCGGGGCAGTGCCCGGGCGGGCCGGCGCGGGAGGGCAGGCCGAGGGGCGGGGAAGGGGCGCGGGCCGCTCTCCGGGGCTGTACCGGGCGCCCGCCCAGCCGCAGGCGCCTGCGCTCAGGCTCGCGGGCATGGGGCGCCCGACCCCGGAGCTGCCGCTGCTGGCGCTGCTGCTGCTGCTGCCGCAAGCGCTGCGCGGGGCGCCCTGCCCCGAGCCCTGCCGCTGCCCGCCCGACGGCGCCCTGAGCTGCCCCGGCCCGCGGAGGAACCTCTCCCGACTGTGAGTACCGGCGCCCCCGGGGCGCTCCGGGGCGCCTGGCCTCCCTACGCTTTGGCCCCCTTTACCTGGAAGCTGGGAGCAAGACGCTTCGCCCCATCAAACTCCACCACCTGTTAGGGTAACGAGAAGCCAAAGCTTGGTGGCTGTCTTTGCCGTCTGGGGCCGCAAGTTAGGATTGGGCCCCTCCTGCTGGCGCACCCTCCAGCCCCTGGCGGCCCGCTCTTTACCCCGGTTGGGGCTGTTGCGGGGAGCATGGAACTACTCAGAAGCCACAGGGCAAGGCCTCGCTCCCTGCGCTGCTGGAAGGGGACAGGGTGTGGTGCTCCTCAATCAACAACTGCCTTTGCCCAGAGAAGTGTTGGGTTGAGCCAGCCTGGTTGGCCAAGGTTACAGTGCTCTCTGACACCCTGTGGTCCTCTAGGAATGGGACCTATACTCCTGGCACATAGGCTCAGGCCTATGGCCAGGGGTGACCTGGTCACTCAACCAGGACTGCTGGCGTGTGCCTCCCACAACCACTGCCCACCTACACCTTAGTGAGCATATAAGCCACTGCTCCACCTCTGCCCCAGAGGGACTGGCAGTTCAATCTGCTTGCCTAATCCTTGTGTTCCCCTCCTGCACCACCACCACCTTCCTACAGAGCTGGTTAAGGGAATTGTACACATCAGCAAGCAGGTGGGGGGAAGCTGTTTGCTGAAGCGATGGGGTGAAGAGAAGGGGACCTTTAGACCTAGTGTATCAGAGTGTCACCGGGTCTCCTTTCTTTGATTTAGCAAAAGGTACACACATTATATGATTCTATGTATATGAAATGTCCAGATAGACATAAAGGTAAATTAGTAGCTACCAGGTTGGGGTGAAGGCCAGGTGAGTGCTAATGGATGTGGCTTTTTGGGGTGATGAAAATGATCTCAAATTAGATTGTGGTGATAGTTGCACAACTCCATGAACATACTAAAAACCATTGCATTGTACACTTTCAATGGGTGAATTTTATGGTATATGAATTACATCTCAATAAGGTTGTTAAAGAGAAAAGGAAAGGAAAGAAGAGTGGTATGTAAGTATCCAAAAGGCACCAGGCTGGCAGAGGTCTTGGTTTGTGTTCTCCCCATTAGAGGTGATGAAATTCCATGCTGGGGGAGGAAAGAGACCTGCCCTCCCCCATTTCCTTGGGCCCCCAGCAGTCTGTCAGGGGCCACTTCTTGCATGGGATTCCCTCTCCCTCCTGAGGATCCGAGCCTCTCCCATGAAAGAGTTAGTGGCCCTCAGGGAATATTTGCAGTTGAGACACAGTTTAAAAGTTGAAGGGTTTATATTAATTAGTTTCCATTATCTTGGCTTAATTCCCTGAGAGTGAGGACCATGCTGATAGAATTTGTGTCAATCAATCAACAAATCCCCGGAAACTTTATTCCGAGTCCCAGCACTTGTCCTTCCCTGACAAGCTTCCCTTCTGGCTCTTATGAATGATTGTGCCACTAACAGCCTTGCTCACTTGCCTGGTACTTATCATACAGATTACAAGAAACCGAGACCCAAAGACATGGGACAACCTGCCCAAGGTCCCACAGCTATTGAGTAGCAAAGACGGGACTTCATCTGTTAAATTATCTTTTTATATTTGCTTGTCTTTGTAAAAAAATTACCCCTTCCTTAATAATAATATATATATATATGTGCCCAGCAAAGTTGGCACTGCGTGGAGAAAGCCCTGGTGGGAGGCAGGAATGGGTGGGCCAAGTCCCAGCTCCTTTTAGATTCAGCTTTTCACCAAGAGTCTCAGCAGTTCTTGCCGCTATACCCATGTTGGCCTCAGGAGGGTACCTCTTCCCTGGAGAAGGCTGAAGTGAAAAGAACAAAACAAATTCCCTCGCTGCCCTGCAGCACAGTTTAGAGAGGCCTAGAACCCCTCAAAAAGATTTTACAGGGCTGACTAGGTTTGGGGGTAGAGGGCACAATATCAGCACTGCTAGCATGCAGAAGCTGGCTAGTCCAGCTCCCAAAAAGGAGCTAGTTGTCCAGGCTCTGAAGTCCTTCCCATCCCTGAGGGATTCTGGAGAATCCTTGACTTTCTCCCTTTACATGCACTATCCTGGCATCCACACCAGGAGCATCTTCTCCTAGACATTTGGACCCCTTAGGTCAGCAAGTGTGCAGACACTCACAAGGTCGGGCTTCCTGAGGATTGTTTCATTGAGAGATTACCTCATCCTTCAAGTGAAAACCCTATGGAGGTGGAGCCTTCTTTAGCATGATATGGTGACTTCAACATCAATATGACAAGAGAGATGCATCAGAAGGAATAGGACGGTAGTTATTTTAAGGCAATGGTCCTCAAAGTGTGGTTCCAGACCAACAGCATCAGCAACGCCTGGGAAATGTTAGAAAAGTACATTCAGCCCACCTCCCGACCTCCTGAATCAGAAACTCTGAGGGCGGGCCCAGCAGTCTATGGTTCAACAAGCTCCCCAGGTGATTCTGATGCACAGTCAAGTCTGAGACCCAATGTATTGCTCTCCATGGAGGATAATCTTCTGGAAGGCAAGAAGTATGTTTAAACTTCCTTGTGCCATTCACTTCCCTTCCCCATGCCCTCCACCCCACACACATCCACAATACCTACTTATTGCAAAGGCAGCTGTGATCAAATCAAAATCACAAACTCTGAGACATATGGAAAATAAACAGGATCAAGAAAAGGTGGGGTTTTTTTTTTTTTTTTGACCTTCAAAGGGGAACAGAGGAAGGAATCCATGGAAAGGACAGACTGAAGATCCAAGGGATGGGGAGGAATAATAGTTGATGGAGTAAGACCTCAGTGGGGTGGGAGGAGAGCATCAGTCCCAGACCAGAGGGGAAGGAAGGGTTAATCTTAGAAAGAGAGGGATAATTTGGGAGTCCTGGGGGAAGAAGACAGGTGGGTAAAGGTGTAAGTTCACAGTGAGGTGAACGATAGGAAAGTGAACAGGTTCATACTGAAACCCTCTCTTCTTGATGATAAATGAATGAAATGGTAAATAGTAATTACAAGATAGAAAAATGCTATGAATAACAAGTTATCAGGAATTTGTAAAAAGAAGACAGCTGAAATTATGAGATAAGGCTTCTGGAAGAGGAGGGATGTGGTCTTGTACTAAATTATCCACAGGGTTTGACTCTGCAAAGAGAAGGGGAGAGAGAACTCTTGGTTCTAGTGGTTAGAGGAGGTAAGTACCAAGGAGCACCTTGGAAATTCATCAGTCCCTCAATAGATGCTAGTTTATGTTTTAATCATTTCAAGGCTTTGTAGTCCTGCCTTCTAAGACTTCCATCTAAAGTCCCCTATTTGGTTAAAAAAGAAATATGGATAATAATTGCATATCATGTACAAGCCCACTGCTTGCAAATTTTGAAAATGGTATTGTTTAATCGTTCATATCTTTCCACCTCTTCCATATTTTATTAAAAACTTAGGTATTTAAAATCTAGAATGTGATACAAAAAATAGCCTCCCATGTGTTCATTCATTTTAATTGGGGAAAAAAAGTAAAAGAAAAATTTGATTTTGAAAATTTCCTTTTCTTATTAGTTCCAGACAACTGGAAGGAGGAAGAGAGAAAAAAAATCTCACCTTGTCCATGGTTATATAAAGATCTTTGTCTCTATGACAACAGAAAGGTTGATCTGCTTGATATGGAAACAGCTTCTGAAAAACCTGTTAGTAAGAAAATGCTAATAATAATTATGGCAATTTATTTTTTGCATGTTGTGCCTACTGAACAGATTTAACTTTTAGACTTTATTATAAGACACCATCCAGAGACTTCGGAAGAATAAAACAGGCTGTATCCATCAGTCCAGTGTCCATAGGAAGATGTTAGTCTCCTGACATCTTTCCTGAATGTCTTTCTCCTTCTACCTCCTTCAGTGCAAATGAGGGTCCAGAACAGTCTTCAAAGCTGTAGAGGGATATACAGGTGGAGGATGTAATCCTTGTCCTTGAGGAGCCCACATGTAGGTGGAAACACACCCAAGAGACTGGTGTAGGTGGGGAAAGAGGTAACAAGGTTCTAAGGAATTCAGAGAATAGATCAATCACTATGGATTGAAATCTCCAAGGGCTTCATGGGCCAAGGGTCATGAGGCTGAACCTTGAAGGAGAGAAGGGAAGAAGAGTCCAGGTGCAAGAACCACAGGTTAGAGTAGACTAGAGATTCCTTGCTGAGAAGCAAATACGGTTGAATGGATTCTTCCCTTTTTATGCCTCTTGCAGACTCTTTGGGGAATATTTTTTTTTTAAGAGACAATATAAAGTCATCAGAAATATTGGATTAAAATACCCAGAGGGTTGTGCAAAAACAAAAAATCCCCATATGTAGCTCCTGACTAATAAACTTTCAATCAAAGTCACTCTTGGACAGTCGATTACAAAGGCATTAAGTAAAAATCATGATGTGGAGCCACTTCCCCATGAAGCGTTTCCCAATGTCCCCTCCCTCCCATACACACATGCTTGCTTTGATACCTTGTGCTTCCACATATTTTCGTACATATCCCTCCATAACGTAACCATTTATTCAATGTGTGCCTCTTCTGCTAAAGCAGGGTTTCTCAACCTCAGCACAATTAACATTTGGGGCCAGATAATCATTTCTTGTGGAGGGCTATTTTGTAGACTATAGGATGTTTAGCAGCATCCCTGGCCTCCACCCACTAGATGCCAGTAGCACCGCCCTCCCAAATTATGATAACCAAAAATGTCTCTAGACATTTGCCAAATGCCCCCTGGGTTTTGAATCTTGTGCTAAAGTGAGAACCACTTGAAGAGGTCTTATTCAACTCACGATTCCCAGAATTTCACAGGTAGTATGATTAAAGTGTTTATTGAGCTACATGATGATCAAACTGAGTAGACAGCTGAATAGGAATAATGAACCAGTGCAAAAAGGAAGCACGTATATTAGTTAGCATGTACCACATCTAAGTGTCATTTTAAAAATCTCCATCCTAGAATA